TTCTCTGAAGTTTGAGACTTACATGCTTTCAATGATTTGTCCAAGGTTCACAGTTAAGAGACAAAACTGAGATTAATTTAACAGACTCTTCAACAAGAATGAAGTGGGTGATAAAAAGAAAATACTAATGGTGAAAAATTCTTTGCAGGTCTTCCCAGCAGGAGGCAGACTCTATTTCCCCAGCCCTTGGTTAGGCTTGCTTTGACCAAGAATTACTACCATGTAAGCCCCAGAGCCTAGGACTCAAGAAGTCTTGTGGCTGCAGCCTTAGTTCTCTCGGACACTGTCCATAGGACGCATGTGAAGCGGGTGGTCTAGCTTTCCAGAGTGAGAGGCCACATGCAGAACTGAGATGCCTCAGCCAACAATTAGCACCAACTATGGGACGAATGAATGAGGCCATCTCTGACCTTCTAGCATAGCTGACCCTCCAGCAGAAGGAAGCTGCGTGAGACCAGGTGAAGCCAGCAGAGGAACCACCACTAATCCGGAGTTGTGAGAAATAATAAGCTGTTGTTTTAAGTCACTTGGCTTTGGGGTGGTTTGTTATACAGCAATAGAAAACTAAAACAGTAGGTTTTATTTCCATTGTATGATGAGGAAAGTAAAGCTTAGAAAAGGTAAAGCAAGCAAGGTGACATAGGCAATTAAATGACACAATCAGGATTTTAACTCAGGTCTGCCTCCAAATCTCACTACTTTATGCTGGGTAAACGGTGAAATCATGAAGTGTCTTATTTACTTAAAAATAAATAGATAGATAGATGGATGGATGGATGGATGGATGGATGGATAGATAAATGGGAAAAAACTACCTATATAGTCCAAAAATATCAATGAATAGTTCCCTTAAAATCAAAGCTGACGGTCCAGTAGAATAAATCTGAGCTGAATTATACCATTTCTACCAAAGGTTTAAAGGTTTATGCTGATTTTTCCTTAGTGAAATGTCTAAAATAAAATAATCATAGGAAAAATTGTAGGTAGGAAGCTATCTGGAAATATTTATTGGAAGTTACATTTTGACCCACAAATCCCAAGGCAGCATGGTAATTTAACCCAAATACCTGTTACAAACATATTTCTAGTAGTTACACTAAAAAATAGAAAAATAATACCACATTCATATACCTGATTAATTTTCTTTTCAAATCCCAGCCATATACACCTCCATTTCCTTTGTAGCGCGTTCCAGAGACAATGTCAAAATTACCCTCCTTTTGCTTCCTGTAGAAAAAACAAATTAGCTGTCAATTAGAAAAAACTATTGAGCTTTCAATAGTTATTTTCATGACTTACACAAACAGAACGTTTAAGACTTGCATAGAAAAAACAATACCGAGAAAATAAACCATACTACTGAAAGATCTTTCAAAGTAAGGCTCTCAAACCTGATTCTTTTTTTCCTATATTAATATTTAAAACTACAAAACAGTACATTTGCTGACCGTACCATGTAAAACCATCCTAAAATATAATAATAAAATTATAAGTTTTCCCAATCCCCTTCCATTCTGTTCTCGACCCCCTGAAGAAAACACTGCTAAAACAGCCAATAACCCTCTAGATCTTCCTTTGTTTACAGAAAGATAACTCAAAGACCCCTCCCCCTCAGGGTTTTGGGTTGCTTTTACAAAATTGGAATCCAAAAGTATACTTTGCAACTTGTTTTTTGTCAGTTAAGAATATACGCAATGGAATCACAGACATCCCTACAGGTCAACAGAGAATTTCCCCATTCTTTTTAATACCTGCAAAAATACTGAACCTGTATATTCCTGTGGTTAATTCCATGGTGGGTCCACTTACTCCCAACAACACAAACACAATGAATAGTGCTGCAAACATTCTTACAAATGGTGCTTAGACTACCCAAAGTAGGATGTAACAGAATTGCTAAAATAAAGCTGCTGAGTATTTTTAATTCTAACAGATCTCACCAGAAATTACTTCCCGAAAAGGTCGTAGCAACTCACTTCCTCCAGCAATATCTGAGTGTGTCCATTTTCTACTGTCTTATTGGTACTGGGTGTATTGCTCTGTAAGTTTTTAATTTTGACAAACTAATGGGTAATAAAATAGTAACACAATTATTTTAATTTGCATTTTTCTGACCACGTCCCAGGGTGACTACCCTCTCTTCGATCTGTTAGCATCTATAGACTTAATCACAGTGCTTTCTTTGTTAATGTGATAAATGAATTATGTTGACAGATTCCTTAAGATAAACCA